AGCTGTAATATTTGTGGAATTAATGATAACATATTATAGAAGTAGCTGTAATATTTGTGGAATTAATGATAACATATTATAGAAGTAGCTGTAATATTTATAGAAGTAGTGATAACATATTATAGAAGTAGCTATAGTATGTTATATATGTAGTGTTAACATGTTATGTATAAATATTCTCACAGTTTTCCTAATAAGTAATTATCATCAAATGTATTTTTCATTTACAATATTACTTTAGCGGTTATTTTCTGCCAGCTTCCTTTTAAGCTTAAAATAAACGTTTTTGTTTTGTTTTATTGAAATTTTATTTGGTAAACAATCATTATCAGAAAAATGAGTTAATGTAATCGTACCTTATAAAAGACGTAACTTTGCATAATTTTAATATTTTTATAAGTTTTATAATTCTAGATAACCAATACAGTATAGACCGTAAGAGTTTTTAATTACTACTCTACCCTTTAACAGCAAGTGGTTTAAATGTTACTTCGCTTTTTAATCTCGAAAAGAACATATGATCCTATTAAAGAACGGGCGTTGTAAATGTTTTTTCACCTTATAATTCTAAGAAGAAACACACTAACTTAATTTTATTGAAAACAATGCTTCTCTATGATGTTTAGGAGAACCAATACAGTGTAATGTCACGTGGGACGGCGTATCATGCTGGCCTCCAACACCAGCAGGTTTTAAGGCTGAGATATCGTGTTTTTCCGAGTTAAAGGGAATCCGCTATGACACATCTCGTGAGTATGGCCAGTTTTTTATTCGTATTTCGAAATATCCATTTAATTTCTATTTTTTAATGTAAGCGTAAAATTTCTACAAAGCACAAATTTTAAATACAGAACGTAAGAATTAGCAGGCAAAGTTTGCTTTTTGAAAATTACCATGATGCAAAAATTATTGCTATTCTTGGAGGAACTATATTAACTCGATTCGTTAGACGTTCCATTACCTTTTGTAAACAAATAAATAAATTGTAACAGTAAGTCTAATATAATTAAAATCGATATAACATAAAAGAATGTTGTAAGCATGAAACTTATGAAATATGACGCCTAAACTAGAGAAGCATTTTTCTTTAGATGGTAATATGTGGGATAAAGGATAAGTTAGCGTGATTGAGTGCTCATTGAAAAAGTCTAAAGAGTGAAACACAGAATACCTCTAAACACGCTTCACAGTGTCAGTTGTAGGAGCGCTATAACCGTGAAGTCAGTCCCGCCATTTCAGTTATGAGGAGTCGTTTGGGCGGCGGCGAGTGCTGCTGACTGGTTGCAGTTCAGTAGTTCTAAGTCACTGATGGCTATGACTGGATCTTGAGGTTTCTGGTTTGGTTTGGTTGTTTAGAGCAAAGCCACATTGGGCTATCTGCTGAGTCCACCACATGGAATCGAACCCTGAATTTTAGCGAGGGACTTGAGATCTTTGAGTTAGCTGTTTAGTTGCTGTGCTACGTAAATACCTTTCAGGTTGGTGATACCAAGAATCAAGAACCAGGTTCCATCACATTGGGACTGATAACAATTTCGACCACTTTGTTCATTAATGGCCCACATTAGGTTTCCATTAAAGGATCTGACTTAAACATTACCACAAGTTTTAATTTGAAATAATATATCGCATCTAAGGAAAAAAAATGTGGAAGAGGTTCCAAATTTTAAATAAAACAATAAACTATTAAACAAAAAATATTAGCAATTCTATAACGGACCAAAATACTCTGTAAATATAACACTAACCATAAGACAGACTGGCTGTGAAGATCTATTTCTAAATAGATGTTGTACACATTGAACAAGCCAAAAACAACAAAATTCTAAATAAATCCAAATAAAGTTGTAATTTTCAAGAATGTTCCGAATATAACCAAAAGAGAAATTATAAAGCATTTTTTCCCTAAACAATAATATATGAATTTAGTTCCAAGTAACTTTTTATGTTTCTAAAGAATATCGCTCCTACTTAGTTGAGGATTGTTTGTTTTTGAATTTCGCGCCAATCTACACGAGGGCTATCTGCGCTAGCCGTCCCTAATGTAGCAGTGTAAGACTAGAGGGAAGGCAGCTAGTCATCACCACCCACTGCCAACTCTTGGGCTACTCTTTTACCAACGAATTTACCGTCACATTATAACGCCACCACGGCTGAAAGGGCGAGCATGTTTGGTGTGACGGGGATTCGAACCCGCGACCCTCAGATTGCGAGTCGAGCGCCCTATCCACCTGGCCATGCCGTCCCTTAGTTGAGGAATGATTGTTAACCGAAAATTCCCTGCTCATAATTTCAAACAATGACCTGTTCGCATTATAATCTTTCAATAAATTTCTCACTTTTCAATGTAATATATGTTTGAAGACGCCAGTTGATTGGCTGATTGGACCGTAGTTCAAATTAAGGATGGAAGCAAATATCCTTAAAAGAAGCTTTGCCATAGATACAAACAAATATCGAAAAACCTGATCAACGTCGTCTAGGAAGAACGCGATACTGCTATTTTTATATTTAGAAAGCCCTAGAATAACATGTTTTCGCCTAAAAAGGAGACTAAAAATTTATTTTAGAAGTGGCACAGCAGTATGTCTGCAGAGTTACAACGCTATAAACCGAGTTTCGATACTCGTAGTGGGCAAAGCACAGGCAGCCCATTGTATAGCTTTGTTCTTAACTTTCAACAAACAAACTTTCCTCATATATGTGCGTTTGAAATGTGTTTTTATAATTGTTTGTTTTGCATTTCTGTAAAGTATTTTCCTTCTCTCACGTGGAAGTTTTTCGAAAAAAAAAATATTAGTTCTCCGAAAAAATAAGCACTCCTGTTAATTGTTTCTTCTTCACTCAGTCTTTGTTTTACCTCACACAATCTGATGGTAAGTCGTTTCATTATCTCCAGCAACACACGAAAGTGTGATTTGATTTTCTCCTAGCTTCTGTTGAAAGCTAATCCTGCCGGTCAAGTAAAGAATATTACAGGTGCTCTTTTTCAACAACTTATGACAAGTACAGTAGCACATACTGTAGTGATCTACAGAGACTTTTATAATAGATGATAAAAACACAAAGCACAAACCCGTGGTGTTATTGATAACCTTCTTCTACTATAGGAAGATAAATGTAAGCCAAACCAAATTTTAGTTTAGTTTATCATCATTACTTTGTTTGATTCAAGCTTTTCTCTCACTAGAATTTGTTAGAGAGCGGCTCTACGGGGGATTTATTTTTATGCTTGTCAAGCTGAGACTATAGCCGTTTCGCTTATTTATTTCCCAAGTTCCTTATAATTCGAAGAAATATCAATCATTTCTTTGTTTTTCTATTCTGTATAATATAATTTCATTCGATCATTTGATAAAACAATATACGTAATAATCATTTACATTTAGACTCCGTTTTAACAAACAGGAATAAGTGAAGGTGTTTTTTATTTTGAAAGTAGTTTTACTCAGAAACTAGTTATTTTGAGTTTTATAATTAGTTTGCTGCAGTTGCTGGTTGCTTTAAGTTTGGAATAACTTTAATAGATGAACACTGTTTTGAATTTAGGATTAGTTTGATATAGTAACCAGTTACTTTGAATGTGAAATAACTTAGGTGTAGACATTAGTTGGTTTGAGTTTCGGATTAATTTGATAAAGAAAACTATTCGGGGTTTATAGTTAGGGTAATGATTGTATATACTTTCTTTCAATGATTTGAATTGCATTTTTATAAAGGTATGAGTAAAACAGGCGAATCTTTAATAAACATTTACTACGCAAGTTTCATACTTAGCAACATAACATAAAAACTGTGAATCTAGAGCTTAATGAAAGGTAAACAAACACAAACATCGACTGACTTGTTAGTTGTTACACACGAAATTTAGGTATTAAGAAATATGAATTTTTAGTTTAATCAGACAATTGTATTGTGTCACCATTTGAAAAATACTAAACTTATTACCTTGTTAAATCCTTTTAACCCTTTAATTCAGCTGATTAAACCTGATCTAAAACGTGAACTTTTAAACTGTTCGTACCCCGGTGGGACAGCTGTAAGTTTGCGGACTACAAAGATAATAATCCGGGTTCTGTTCCCCGTGCCCCCCAGTGCCACAGCGGTATCTCTCCGGACTTACAACGCTAGAAACCGGTTTTCGATACCCGTGATGGGCAGAGCACAGATAGCCCATTATGTTGCTTTGTGTTTAACTACAAACAAACGATTCCCCGTGGTGGACACAGCAGATAACTAAATGTAGCTTTGCTCTAAAACAAACAAACAAATAAACTCAAGATTTGAACTGTTCTTGAACTTTGCATGGTTAAACAAAGGAAATGTGTAAAAACAAATAATTACCAATACTGATTAGACGTTATTCAAAAGTTAGCATTAAAAATAATTATATTGAATCAGTTTTCAAGTTGGCGATGGATTTTAAGTTCTTAAAATACCAGCTTTTCTCATATGTAGAATTTTCAAGTAGATGAACTTGTCTACCATAAGGATATATTGCAATATTTATCGTGCATGTGCATTCAGGTAAACCTTTTTTTTAGCGTTTTCGCGCAAAACTATGCAAGGCTATTTACGCAGTGCCGTTTTTTAACTTGAAACTTTCAGACTTTAGGGAAAGCAGCTAGTCAACAGCACTTACCGTTAACTCTTGTGCTACATTTGTCAGACCAAACAGAACAGTGGGATTTGATCCTCACTCTTATAGTGCATCCACGGCCAGAAAGTGCGGATAATGTAATTGCATTAACGCAACACGAACAATGAATCCTCGGATTCATGCGTTAGACATACTAACCACTAGGTTGCGCCCAGCCAGTTCAGGTAAGCAATGACTTTATTCCACTAATATCTGAAAAAAGTTCTTTATGATGGCTTGCTGATGGCTCAGCGGTAAGCTTAAAGGCTTAAAACTTTAAAGTTCGATCCCAGTGGCGGGCACAACACATGTAGCCCATTGGGCATTTTTATGCTTAAAAACAAACAAAATGTTCTTATAGATTCGGTATGTCACTGTAATACAAGATTGCTTTGGTGTTGTAATTTTGTATTTTATGAACTTTTACATAGAGAACGCAAGCCGATTGTGTTATGAAAATGGAACGTGGGCAAATCGATCCGACTATTCGAATTGTAAACATTTATTAACTGAGGATGAATTCTTAAAGGTAAGTTAGTATATAGGATGTCTTAATAATTTTTTTTAAGGAGTAATATATTTGTATTTGTGTGTTTCTTCTTGTTTTCAACCCATATTTCTTTGTGTAGGTGTGTGAATGCTAAGAAGAATATTCTCATTTTATTGCATTTTCAGCTTATCGTAAACATTGTACATGCAAGTTGAATGCATTTATTTAACTAGATTTTAGGAAAACATTAGAAAGGGAAAACTTCTCTATTCAGAGTGTTTTTACCTGTGCGTAAGTCCTGTAAGTTAAGTTTTGAAGCCTGAAAAATTAACGTAAAGATGAAAAGAAAACCAATAGTTTACGTATGTTTACTTGGTGCTTTAGATATTTAGTGCAGTTTGTAAAGTATTATATTATCAAAATATCTGACCCAAATCAAAAACTAAAATAAAGTAGAATTAAGTATTGATGCCTGCTTATAAAATAATATAGTAATCATTCTTAAACAGTTGCATATCATTGTGGGTATGCCATAACAACAATTATTGACCGATATGGTTATTATTTTGATACCAATTTCTGAACGCTATGGTGATTTTTACCATGTGTAAAGTGACCAATGTGGAAAATATTTTAATACCACATATTTATGGTTATTGTTTTAACGCAAGCTTGTCGACTGGTGTGGTAACTATTTTGAAAGATGTATTGATTATTTTGTTAATGTTTTTACTTTCCTGAAGGTGGTGCTTACTGAAATCACCTTACAAACTTTTCATTGCGTTAGATGTATTCATTATATTGTTAATATTTTTACATTCCTCAAGGTGTTGATATACAGAAATCACCTTACAAATTTTTCATTGCTTTAGATGTATTCATTATATTGTTAATATTTTTACTTTACTCAAGGTGTTTATATTCTGAAATCACCTCACAAACCATTCACTGCTTTAGCCGTTTATTGTCACTTCTTTCTTTAAATAACTTATTCAATTGGCCAATTTTACCGAAGCTTTATACGTTTTTCAAGACTAGTGCTGGTTTCAGAAACGCGATTTTTAAATGACCTTTTACAGGATTTGGACTGAAATGTTCCTTGACAAGGGTATAAGTTATTTTTGATTGTTACGCATAGTATAACTGAAAGGACAGCTTCATTATTCAAACTATTGCAGAATTAAGATGATTATTTGGCATAACGGCAAATCGTTTTGATCATTATTTCAATCGATGGCTGTTAGACAATTTATTCCACCTATTGAAAACCTATGATCGAAAATACCTAGTATTTTTAACCTAGACATGACTAATGAATTGTGGTTCATAAATTTTACTTAAAGCTACACAAAGGACAGTCTGCGCAACGCTGTCTCTAATTTTGAGCTCATAGACTAGGTAGAGGCAGACAGTCAACAGCGCTTACAGCCAACGTTTGCGTTACTCTTGTTTGACCAAACCCACGTCTCCAAAGAGCACAGCGCGTTTATGGACAATGGGACGCCAATCAGGAACTCTCGACTTCCCAGTCCGAGCACGCTATCTTTTCAACAACGCCCGCCCCGAATATCAAACTGAAAAGTGTTTGCAACCTGTTCATACTCCGATCCTACAGAAACAATCGACTAGAAAATTTTCTAAGATTTCTAAAACTTGTAATGGTCATTTCAATTTTCTAAAATTATTGATAATTAATTGTCCTCGAGTTATTTAAGATAATTATATCTTACGTTTCGAATAATTTTTTTTGTAAAATAGAGGTTTTTAAACTCTAATTGTCGTATTTGCAAAAAATACTATTTTCGTACTCTAGCTAAGAAACAAGATATCTATCCAGGATCGACTGAATAGTCGAAAGGATTATCTTGGAATTATCTGTTCTAAAGTGTAAAAATTTATTCCCATAATTATTAAAAGGGTCAAACTCGCATTATTTACTTTTTTACTTTTCGGTATAATTGCAGTAGTTATGTCTTAAAATAGCAAATACAATTAGTTTGATCCCCGCAAATTGCCCCCAGTGACACAGCGGTATGTTTGCGGACTTACAACGCTAGAAAGTGGGCTTCGATACCCGTTGTAGGCAGAGCACAGATAGCCCATTGTGTAGCTTTGTGCTTAATTGCAAAGAAACAAACAAACAAACAAACACATCCCCGCAAATTAAAAAAAAAACGAATTTTTTCACCTTCTAGTTAATTATATTAAAATTAGGGACGACTAGCTCAGACAGTCTCGCGTAGTTTTGCGCAAAATACAATTAAATAACAAACTTCGTGTTCTCCTATTTCAAACAACTAAGATTCAGTGTTGAGTTGAGAAGCCATTTTTCATGAATGCTCTAATGCTCCGGAAAATAATTTATCTAACAACTTCGGGTTTGATTTCTTAGTCTTGGAAACCTGAAAAATGTTGTTTGCGTCGTATAAAAAAAAAAAAGGAAATTATGAAAAATGTGGTTGAAAATTACGTATTAGTACTTTGATTATAATTTCCCTTTGGGCAACTGAAATCGCATAAGACTAATAACTAGCGCCCTAGCGCAAAAATGCCTCTAGAAATAAAGCTTAAGAAAACGTATCGTTAACTTGAATATATAGCCCCCCCCCCGGTGGCACAGCGGAATGTCTGCGGACTTATAACGCTAGAATCCGGTTTTCGATACCCGTGGTGGGCAGAGCACAGATAGCCCATTGTGTAGCTTTGTGCTCAACTACAAACAAACAAAACTTAGATATAATTAAAAGTGTATAGCTTATACCTTATGAATATATATATATATATATATATCCTTCCGAGATGTTTCTTTCTATTTTCAATTTTTGTTATTGATACACTGCTAATATCAACGTTGTTAGGAAATATAGTTTTGAGTAACACGTAAGTTTTATTCACTTATAACTCCAAAAGCTACAGCCGGTGTGTTTTCATACAGCTAAAATAATTAAATACTTTGTTTCAAATTTGCATATGTGTCTGTATTATATACTTTTAGATATCTTTGACTGCTATGACTTTTCAACTCTACAGATAGTTTTGTATCTCTTTATTAGTGTTTTATGGTTTCTTACAGTGTTATCCCTACTGGTACTTGCAGTTCAACATTCAGTCATATTAATATCTACAGGTACTTGCAGTTCAACATTCAGTCATATTAATATCTACAGGTACTTGCAGTTCAACATTCAGTCATATTAATATCTACAGGTACTTGCAGTTCTGTTTTCAGTCACACTCCTTACAGACTTATCCCTAGAAGTATTTAGTGTTGTGTTCAAGCACGTTCCTTACCGTATCCCTAAAGGTACTAGTAGTTGTGTGTTCACTTACATTTCTTATAGACTTATTCCTACAGGTACTCGTAGTTGTGTGTTCACTTACATTTCTTATAGACTTATTCCTACAGGTACTCGTAGTTCTGCGTTCAACAACACTCCTAACAGATTTATCCATACAGGTACTCGTAGTTCTGTGTTTATTCACATTCTTTAGAAGCTTATCTCTACAGGTGTTCTATGGTTCCTTACATGCTTGTTTCTATATATGTACCCTTTGATGCTTATCTATTCACATTCTTTAGAAGCTTATCTCTACAGGTGTTCTATGGTTCCTTACATGCTTGTTTCTATATATGTACTCTTTGATGCTTATCTATTCACATTCTTTAGAAGCTTATCTCTACAGGTGTTCTATGGTTCCTTACATGCTTGTTTCTATATATGTACCCCTTTGATGCTTATCTATTCACATTCCTCACCTACCTGTTTCTGCAGATACTATGTGATTCCATGTCCACTCACACCTCTTTATTTTAATCTATATAGGTACTTTGGGATGTAAAAGAAGCAACAACTGTGTATTATGTCGGCTATGGAGTGTCGCTTATTGCACTATTAGCTGCGCTCAGCATATTCCTTTATTTCAAGTAAGTGACCTGGAATACGAAAATAACTACACTAGGAGAACTACAATGCACAGTAGACAATTACTTTAACTTTATAGGCATGCACTTCACATTCAAAGCTTATTCCTACTTATTACTATCAGATTATCTTGCTTCTATCCCAGTACTATATTCTTTAAATAAGAAATTTCACTAATAACTAATTACGATAGTTTTTGTAAAACATAATGCTAAAACATTTTGTACACTCCTACCGAAGAACGTAATTTATATCGAATTTTCCTCCTTAAATCATTAGTAACACATTTAGTAAGACATTTCTTTATTTTTTATTTAGGGATTAATCTTTTCCATTTATATTAATTAGACGTAATGCGCTTGAAAGTTGGAGAAGTCTCATATTGGTAAATTATTTATTTTACATTTTAATAAACATTTCGAAATTAAGTCTCTATAGAAAGAAATAATAAGTTTACTAACTAAAAGTATTTGCTTTTATTGAAGTTTATTCTCAAATCACATACTTTTAATATCGATTATTTTTATAATAATGATCACAGTTTCAATTTTTATTATCTCTCTTATTAACGTAAAACAAATACAGGTTTCTTTCTTACACTGAAAGTTTGAGGTATTATTTTTGTGTTTATATTACCGTTCTACATATCTTTAGTTTTCATTGTTTCTTTAATTAAGCTGATAGTGAATTTAAATTATTATCAAGCCAAGTATTGACAATGCTATCGTTTGCTCCTATTAAAACAATTCTTCTAAAATGGTAAACGTGTAAATAATTATAAGTGATTAGGTTTTGTGGATAGGCAGTAGACTTTTTTTGTAATTATCTGAGAACATATATTATGAGCAATAGCCGAAAGTTTAATGAAATACTATAACAATGTCATTGTTTCATGTCGTCCGCTCTTTCAAACTCTGTGCTTTGTGAAGTTGTTTCGGTGATTACCTGTTCAGATACAAGGGATCTTTTGAATATGTTCATTTTCTCTTTACTGCTATTTTGAATCACTTATTTCAGTACTAACCTAGTACAGCATTAACATTAGTAATGTCCCATATCTGTTTCACAGAGATCTCCGCTGTCTACGTAACACCATCCACACCAATCTTTTTATTACGTACATTTTGTTGGATTTGACGTGGATAGTGACAGCTAAACTTCAACTTCAAATCAACCCTACCGTAGCAGGGACCAAGGTGAGTAGCTATAGCAAGACTTGTGAGATGAAATTACACGAGAAGATTAAAGTTTTAATCTATCAGCGTAGCAGCAGGAATAGAGATGAGCCTTATATGGCAGATTGGGTGGATTAAAGAAGGGCAGAAAAATAGAAAGAAAAGAAACTAAAGAAATCGACATTTGTGGATCAGAAAGACGATAGAAAAAGATCCGTAATATATTTGTCATTTTTTTATTATATATTTTCTTTACTTTTGCTTCTGTGAAGACTGACTTAAGCAACTTATTCTCTGCTTTAAAATTACTCCTTTACATGTAGCTCTGGTGTAAGGAATGTGTTATAAGCTCGACATATTTCATACTTCAGATAATTCGCCATTTTTTTAAATGATCAAATACACAAACTTGACGATAGCCTTGAGAATCACAGAAGCGTATGAGAATATAAACGAAATCTCTTCAGCTTATATATTGGTTGTTGGTAGAGTAGGAGAAGCCTCATGTTGAACACAAGCACATGGTAAAACTATATATTATTAGCTTAAAGTTTTTGTTTCTTTGTTTTGAGTCAAATACAGAAAACAATTTTCGCTCTTTCCTTTCTCAAAACTATCCTCACTAGCAAGAAACTTCGAAAACCTCAATAGATGCACTTCATATGGAAATGAGTTAACTCTAGCATCAAACTAACTCTGACGGAGAATTTTTTATTTACAAAACATCTTGGTTTTAACTGAATGAGCCAACATCGTCTTCAGTTTAAGTTGTTTTTGAAGATAAGAAAAACCATTTTTTTAAAGATCATGCTGTCGTTATGAATTTTCATTGTTTTTTGTGCTATGATTGTATGATATGCAGGGGTATCACATGTTTTCTTTCTCCTTTAGTTGTATAGAAGTTTTTCGTTGTTTAGTATGTATGCAGCTTTTAGCACAAACATATGGTCCAAAAAGTCGTTGAGGTTGCATTGTCATATTTGTTTTGTTTTTTGTTCTCTGTAGTAGATAATGTCTCTTCTACCAGAGAGGATATTGCAGTAACATATAGCATCCGTGTTGAAAGGATTAACTTTGTAGTGTCCTTTTCTGGCCGAGTTGACATTGTCTAAATGTAACAGTCGACAAATGCTGTGAGAGAATGACAGCCACAAGGTTATTTCTTAGTTCAGTTTAATCTGGAGTTCTTCGAGTAACGACACTTTAAGATCATCGTGTTTAATTTGGTAGAAGTCTATTCCGAGAGAAAGAAACCCGCGGAGCTAATCACATTCCAATAGAACCGACTGTGATTCTGTCTGTGCAAGTATGTACGCTACATTTTCTTTTTGTTTGTTTCATAATAAAGATTGTATTCAACTTCACTAAGTTTGTTCATCTTTAATATTAACTATCTACAACTTTGAAAATCAGTTTTTTCCGAAAATAACAAAACTGATCTGACATCGTAACCGCGGTGGTGGGGGACGTGTTGCAGTACTTCAATCAGGTGCCCGAATATCATTGCCTCCCAAACTATTTTTATTTAGTCTTTTTCTACAGAGTAAACTAGATTTACCAACCAAAACGAAAGACTAAAAATTTTTGGCAAATTCTAAACATCACGCTGTTAGTAAATTTTGTGTGTCTGTATAATGTGTACACTGGTTATTATTTGAAGTATCATTATTATTAATTGTGTGACTTCAGATTTTGTAGTGTACAGCAAACAATTTAATTTGTATTTTGTATGTTTTTATTTGTTTTTGTATGTATAATACAATACTTCTTATCGTGTCAAATTGTTGTATAATATTTTAAAGCACTTTTATTGATTATCAAACATTTTTTTTTATTTACGACTGCTCCAAACAGCCAATGTTTTATACTTTCAAACGTACCCGTGAGGAATATTTATTAAAATCGAAGTATATGAAAATATTTCATCAAAATTAATCCCAAACCTTTTTGTGTAGCCTCTTTATATCTTTTCCTTATAATATCCAGTATATCTCTCCAAACTTCAATTTCTTCTAAAACTATTTATCAGAAGTTATATTCAAAGAGTTATAATTTCCAGGATATTTAAGCTGTTTGATGGATTTGGTAGACATCATCCAGGATATCTATATAAGCTAAAGTTTCTCCTGAAGATATCGATCGGTTGTTATTCGGAGTTATTTGACATATATATATATTATTCTCATGACATTCAACATTATTTAACCTACATCCAACAATATATCAAAGTTCGGATGTTGTTTGATATTGTAATATAATTCAAAATAGGAAGCATGAGCTTCTTTTCATCTATGCGATATTGAAGTTTCTCTAATTTTAAGTACTTATTGGTTAAACGATAGAAGGCCACTAAGCGAAAATAAAATTTTGGTATAATTAGTATTTTAAATTCACGACACGAATTTCCTTCTTAATAATTTTTTCATAGTTACTTTTCTACTTTGAAATTTGTTGTCCAAATATTCAGTCATATTTCTTAAACCTCCCGGTAGCTCGGTGGGAATCTTGAGAGCTTATAAAGCTAAAAATCTGGGTTAGATACCCGCGGTGGACAAAGCGCAGACAGCCCATTGTGTATCTTTGTGTTTAAAAACGAACAAAAGCAAAACGAAATTGTTTCGTAGAAAAAAAAGAGAGGACGTCATATTTTTCTTGTTCCCATGGAAACAGTGTCGTTGAATGTTAGCAGGCAGTGGCTTGGAAATTATACCCAAAACATAAAATAAACAATATCGGTGCAAGGATACACTGAAAAATACTAGAAAACTCCTGTTCATTAATTAAAATATATAGTAAAAGCTATAGCATATTACCAGGGTAAAGCTTACTTGCCTTAACTCAAGATTTACGGTTTTTACTGAATAGGTTCTGTAGGTGAGCGACAATCATAAATTTTTGAATCTAATAAACCCATTCTCCTCATAAACGTAATTTTATTAGATCGATTAAAGAATATTAAATTATTGTAGTAAAACATATATATATATATACCATAGAATCCACCTGTTTAATTCTTTATGTAAATATGTGTGTTTGAATGTATAACACTCACACTTATAAATATATATACATGTAAAGCATTTATAAGCCAGGCCTTTATATGAAGCTCGTCGTGAAGGTGAGTTAGTAAATAATGTCCCTCTCTCTATCTATATTATAGACACATTATAATAATGTCCTCTGAAGTAACCTGAAAACATTAATCGGCTGGTGTTCCTAGCGTGTCTCATGCTAGAATGAAAGTTGGCGTCCGCTATAGCACGCATGGATGTATTATATTTTCTAAATGCTACTTTGTGAGGCTAATAGTGATAACAACGCCTTCATTTATGCTATGTTCAACGCTTAATAGTGCAACAAATTACCAGTGCATGGAGGGAGGAAGAGGTGGAATATCAAATCTAACCATCCCAGATCCCTATAAAGTCGTCGTCGTCTGTGAAAATACACAGTTTTTCTGAAGTCATCCATCCAATGATAACACTCGTTAGTTATTATAAAAAGCAGCGTCTGAAACATGATCCACAAATTTGACGAAAATGATCATTCCTAAGCATATTTCTAACGGGTACTTTTAAGTGTGTTGGCAACCGAAAACGCAAAATTAACACTTTTTAAACTATTTAGTTTCTGTTTTGGTTACACATTATCCACAAGAATTATTTGTACACCGCTTATGCGTGTTGCTTTTCTATAAGCACGTTATTCAAGAAAAATCACAAGAAAAGAACTGAGAATATCTAACTTTTAATTTTTCTTTTTTTAATTTTGAAAATCTGCTCAGCTTTCTATAGAAAACTACCATATGATATATCTAATGATACGTTTAGCTATTTTATTTACTTTCGCCACTTTGGACACCTTTTTACATAGTGTTATTACTTGTGTAGTAATATGTATTTATGTCACATCTCTTGTTTACTGTTATTATTACTTTTTCCACAAAGCTAAACTTTTATATTTTTCAGTGATTTATCATTAATATTGAAAGAGATCTCTCGATTTATATTTTGTGTTCGTCTAGCTGGGTGTTCTCTCTCTCTTTATATGTGTAAAAAAAGCTTTTTTTTTCGACAGTTTCTTAGTAGTGAAACTAACTTGTTTATACAATTTGAAGCATATTTTGAAGAGATGAGTAAGTTAAGCATACAAGAAAGATCTTTGGTAGTTCATGTATAATTAATTATAATATCAGCCACAAAGGCACTATGAATTCTTATTTCATAAGACAAGCTTACAAAAAATATCTTTTGTAGTTCATGTTTAATTATTTGTAATATCAGTCACAAAGACACTATGAATTCTTATTTTGATATCGCCAAATCGTCCACAAAGAACTTTCAACGCATTATTTTCTTAGTTTAGTAGTTAGGAAGAAATGACTTTGATCAAAAGACTGCACAAATGTGGCTTATAATGTCAAAAACAAGTGTAGTTATATCTAACTACTATTGAGACACGTTTCTAGTAGCTACTAAAAACTGAGTCAGAAGTCAAATACTAGTGGCTACTAAGAACTGAGTCAGAAGTCAAGGGCTAGTGTAGTTGTTTCTACTGGCTACTGAAAGCTGAGTCAGAAGCCAGAGACTAGTGTAGTTGTTTATAATAACTACTAAGAACTAAATCACAAGTCAAGGACTAATGTAATTGTTTCTACTAACTACTAAGAGTTGAGCCAGAAGTCAAGGACTAGTGTAGTTGTTTGTAATGACTACTAAGAGTTGAGCCAGAAGTCAAGGACTAGTGTAGTTGTTTGAAATGACTACTAAGAGCTAAGCCAGAAGTCAAAGACTAGTGTAGTTTGTTTCTAATTGTTACTAAGAGCTAAGCCAGAAGTCAAGGACTAGTGTACTTGTTTGTAATGACTACTAAGAGTTGAGCCAGAAGTCAAGGACTAGTGTAGTTGTTTGTAATGACTACTAAGAGCTAAGCCAGAAGTCAAAGACTAGTGTAGTTTGTTTCTAATTGTTACTAAGAGCAAAACCAGAAGTCAAGGACTAGTGTAGTTGTTTCTAATGGCTACTAAGAGCTAAGCCAGAAGTCAAGGACTACTGTAGTTGTCTATTTCCAAAATGATTTTGTGAAGAAAATTTCACCATTTTCTTTAGAGTACTAAGACTAATCATTATCTATCATTTTTTTGCAGGCGGCTTGTGTTTTGACGATCTTCTTGACTTACTTAATGGGCACCAATTTCTTTTGGATGTTTGTTGAAGGCCTCTACCTGTACGTTCTGGTGGTGAAAACCTTCTCCATTGATATATTTAAAATACATAGCTACTTGCTTGTCGGCTGGGGTAAGTATTTACTTATTCTAATGAAGACAAATCAAATTAAATTAGAACTGTATGCAGTGCTTCAAGTTCGACATTCTAAATATTTGTAAATAGAAACAGTTGTTTGTCCTAGTTCTCAAAGTAATCAACAATGAGATTAAAAGAACAAATATAAAATTTAGCTAACTAAAAGAAATTACGAGATTTCACAGTAACTCTTTAATTCTTTTCTTGAAGCCTAATCTTTGTTTCTATAAATCAAATATCAATTCACACTGTGTGTGCATTTATTTGTTTGTTTGTGTATCCACGAATTTCTCGAAGAGTTTTGAAACTAGCAGGACCAAACTTGAATGGAGACTTTGGGGTATCAGGGGGGGGGGGATTATCTATATGGAGTATTCCCTAACAATGGGGGGCTAAAACGTTCCCAAAAAGTCACCTAGGTATGACGGTGATCTAGGGGTAGGTTTTGAGAATCGCTAAGCCCGAATCTGGGATCATATTTATATTCCTGACCCCACTCGGAATCCCAAGGGCGCCATGTTTATAACTGTGTTCGTACCCCCACTCACAAGCTAGCAGGATTAAACGTGGCACACGTGCTCAGATACCACGGGAGTAGGTACTAACGGGTTTCGTTTTCGAGTGCGGACCACACTTGAAGTAGCTACATAAATAATTGGGGTTAATAAAATAGCTTGATCGGTACATTAGGACCTCTTTGAATCACGAAAGGGCCTTTGCGGGTTTTTATGCTAGTATAAGCAATGTATGTTGCATTATTTTTTGCAGTCTTGCTATTTTTCCAACTAATGTTAAACTTGCTATCATGTATTTTCAAATTTGGGCATAATATATATATATATACACATATATTTATAACTTTAAGAATGAATTACTAAATTTACGTTTTAAATAAAAACAATATTCTTTAATCCCTTGTGTGTATCAAAAAGTTCAAACGTTTGGTTGAAATGTAACAGAACTTCAAAACTAAGACACTACAAACCCGACAGACATTTTTGTCTAACACGAGATCAACAAACAAACAATATATCAAGGAGACCCTGGCAAAATTTTCCACAAAATTAATACAGTAATAATTGTTTATTATTGGAATATTTACCTTTATACTCAACTGTAGATAATTTCATACAAAAGCCATGTTTTCGGAACTGAACCTAACAGTCAGCTCCGTAAATGAAGGAAAAGATGTTCTCTATGATTGCAGAAAGTATTGGTCATTCGGATTTCTTATTGCTAATTTGCAGATGGGAGTGACCATCAAAAATCAATGTTAAGTCTTAGGAATTGGCCTTAAGAGAGATTTCAAACTTCAAAAGTTTGCAAATTCTGAGAGGAAGGTAAGCCCTCTTTCAGACTCTCCGACCTTGGGTGAGACTCTGTGATATCCATTTCTTTCTTTTCCCCCCTTTTTGAAAATTCTGGATACGTCCCTGAAAATATTAGTGTCTCAGTCCTCATAACAACTTCTTCGCTCTCAATGTCTTTGATACAAGCCACAGAGTAAATTCTGGTATAGTCTGTATCGTTTGAACCGTCTTCTGCCAAAGGTTCAAATTTTTCCTTTGTGTAGATTCGGGAGCAAGTCATACAACAACTTCACGCTACGCTGTTGCGATTATACGATCTTCCTCTCACTGTACTGCTAGACATGAGTTTCACAACACATTACAAATTCTTCTCTTGTTCGACTTTCTTTCAGATACTTGCTTTTATTAAAACAAAAACTGCAACTTTTCTGATACACTTTTGTTTTATTCTGACAGATGACGCAATACTCAATCTTATTGTTGATCTCTATCAACTTTACCTTGTTCTTTTCAAACAAGGACATCTATTGTCTCTCTCAATGTTATACACTTCTGTATGACTTGTGGTAAAAAATGTGAGGGATCTCATCATCCTCTAATGTCTCCATTGTTGCTAGAATGTGCTCGCGTTTTCTTATCTTTACTGTTTTCAGCAAAGAATTTCAGGAGCACATGCTCTTCAACGAAGTAAGATTTTATGTTGGATCCTGTGCTCTACAATGTAACAAACAGGAGTTAACCATTCTTTTTTAGGTCTGCTCCAACCTAGAACATAGGAGTTAAACCATCTACTCAACAGACGTATGCAATACTCACTAGATATTAATATTTCTATGTTATGATAAATACGTTTTGCTGCTTTCTGTTTGTTTCACAGATATTCGTCAAGTACGACTGTTTAAGTATTTATTAAGTTTTAAATAGTTGTCACATTGGGACTGTTTCGAAGTTCAGCGTAGTTTTATGTACGTAGAAATGTACACTGAGTGGTCATAAGTAAATAAACACCTAATTTTTCGTCATTTAACTGAGTTTTGCTAACTAATTTGTGTTCACAGAGCACTAT